ACCAGAAATGAGGTTTCATCGTCAAAGTTTAACAAAATTTGTTGCCATTCGAGGGGGGCACCCAATTCCACACTAGAGCTTAATCTTCTACTAAATATGGGCATCTGGAAGTCCGAATTTGAAATTTGTTTTATTATTGATTTCCTATTTTGTAACACTTCAACCAATTTTTGATTAACTCGCTCAACGTTTTCAAAGCAAGCAATGGCAATACTGTATGGGGAAAAAAAACATTTTTATCTCCAGTGCGCTAGACTGTGTATCGGAAATTCTAAAGATATTCTCACAGTGATATTGCTGTTGAATTCAATTTTATGGTTTAAGTGGGAAGAACTTGATATTTAATAAATAAAGGTAGCACACAAAACGTTAAAAAAAGCCTCTTTGGGCAGAATGTAAAATCTGAAAGCTTTCAAATTTTATTTTTTTTATTTATTAAAATTTGGAACCTGCCCTCTGAAGAATACTAAGCAGTGCATTATTTTCAATGTTACAGAATCCCACCATAAAAAGCTGTCTATTAATGAACATGATGTGGTCAGCTGAATATGGTCGACAAAATGAAACTGACTAGAAATTACCATGGAGGTGGATTGTATCCATAGTGTTCTACACAAAGCTTCCGGTAAAATTGGAGGGCTTAATAAAATACAGTCAAAAGTCGTTAATCCGGACTCGTCGGGACTTCGGCGATTCCGGATTATCGATTTTTCCGGATTATAGATCATCAGTTTAAATCTCGTAAGATGGCATGCAGAAATTCTAAAATTAAAAATATGAAACCGTAATTTATGAAATAAAGAACAATTATGATTTAAAGGGTATCAAAATTTACAAAAAAAAAACCTTAATATTTATTTGTTTACTTTATTAAACATTTCTTTCAATGTAAGTTGTTTAAGTTGCTTCGTTTTATGTGATAATACTTTCACTTTAATTCTATAAACAGACATAATTTCTTGTTCAGTTACAAAGTTCCGCTGTTCAAGTCCCGTTAATTGCTGTGCCGAGAATACCGACTAACTTGTCAATCGAAATTTTTTCGTTTTCACTAACCTCTCTGTCACATTCTTCATGTCTTTATCCATTTTATTGCAGCAATTCCACTTTTTGTTTGTTGGACATCGAAACATACTTTCTTTTTGTAGATCCTTTGGGAAGTTCCAGCATCGGAAATTCTATTTGACATAATCGAAAGTTCAAGTTTACTTTTTATAAAATTGCTCTTACAGTCTGCAAAAAATAATAAGCGGGATCCAATTCGAAGATTAAGGAACAACGTAATCATTAACATTAACTGAAATAGATAATTAGATAATTTTAGCTTACACCATCCGTTATACATTAAACGCGCAGGCAAAAACGTATTCTGCACTTGCGCACACGCATATGCGCAGTAGTCAAGGTCTCACGCGCACGCGTAAAACGCCTGTGCGCATGTGCCAACGCGGCGCATGCGCAGAAAGTTTTTAGCTTTGAGGTCCGGATTATAGATCATTCCGGATTATGGGTGTCCGAATTAACGACTTTTGACTGTAGTAGAAACTGATAAGATCTTTTTATGAAGTAGAGTGAATACTGATTGTTTATTAACTAAAGAGCTATCACTTTCAGTGTTCCACAGTAATGATTGGCATAACTTTGGTGGGAGCTTGACCAACTTTCATGGTCAACAGGATAATATGTAAGTATCTCATTTTATTTCTTAAGTAGTATTACCAAAAAAAGTTTAAGTATTTAACATACAAGATAGCAAATTTTGCTGCATATGTTAATATAGTAAGTAACCTGTGCAAGAAATTAATATACAGTACAAAGTCCGTAATCTGGACTCGTCAGGACTTCGGCGATTCCAGATTGGGGTTTTTTCCGGATTATATATAATCAATTTAAATCTGGTAAGATGGCATGCAAAAATTATACAATTAAAAATATGTAACCGTAATTTATGAAATAAAGAGCAATTATGATCTAAAGAGTATCAAAATTTACAAAAAAAAAAAAAAAAAAAAGCTTAATATGTATTTCTTTACTTTATTAAACTTTTCTTTCAATGTAAGTTGTTTAAGTTGCTTAGTGTTTTGTGCTAATCTTTCTCTTTAATTCTATAAACAGACATAATTTCTTGTTCAGTTACAAAGTTCCGCTGTTCAAGTCCTATAATTGCTGTGTCGAGAATACTGACTAACTTGTCAATCGAAATTTTTTCATTTTCAATAACCTCTCTGTCACTTTCTTCACTATCGGAAGCGGTATTTTCTGGATCTAGAACCATACTACAGAATTTGCAGTCCGTTAATTGATTGATGATTGGGGCAATTTTGTCGTAATGAAAAACTTCTGTTATATCGTCTTCATTTACTACCGCTTCTCCATATTTCTTTACAAAATCAAATAAGTGGAAAATTTTACCTTTAGTGCGCGATGTCAGAAAACCTTCAAATTCACAGCTATCATCTTCATCGTCTTCACCTTGAAATATGGTAGCTGGCCATAAATTATTAATTTTTTAACGTATCTGGAAACACATCCTCACACGATCTTGCGATGCTCCACACAGCAGATTTTATGCAAAAAATTTTTAAAAGTCTTGAATAGTCTTGCCATTGTTCAAGAAATTTAACATAGATTTTAAAAATACTACTTTATATTTGCATTTCAGCACGTGCACTATTCCTATATCCATAGGCTGAATGATAGACGTACAATTTGAAGGGAAGAATAATACGGATACATTTTCTTTCACTAAAACTTTAAGTGAAGTATGCGCCGAACAGTTGTCAATAATCAGGACTGTTTTTGAGTCATCAGGTAGACCAACCGAATTCAAATGTTGCCGAGCCTCGGGTATAAAATGATTTTCAAGCCAATCATTCATCAAAGCTTGTGTCATCCATGCTCTTTTATTTGTGCGATATATAACGGGGAAAATCGTTACTCCTTTAAATGCTCGAGGTCGTGCATGTTTTCCAATTACGAAAAGTTTGCACTTGTGCATTCCTGCAGCATTTGCACACGCTAAAATTGTTAGTCTCGCTTTGGAATCTTTGACACCAGTTGTAGCCTTTTCTGTAGAGGTTGCCAAGGTATTTCGTGGTACATATTGCCAGAAAAGACCAGTTTCATCAGCGTTGTAAATTTATTCTGGAGATTATTGTTTACTAGTAATGAGTTCAATGAATTCATCTGCAAATTGTTCAGCAGCTTCAGTATCAGCTGAAGCTTTTTCACCTGAAATTTTTAATTGTCTTATATCATGGCGATTTTTAAATTTGGTTAACCAACCTGTCGAATATGTGCAGTGTTTAAGTTCATTTCTTCATGAAATATTTTGGCTTGAGCCATTAGCATTGGACCCGTCAATGGTACGCCCTCGCTGCGATGCTGTCTGACCCATTCAATCATCACTTTGTCATGATCGTCACTTTTAGCATAATGAACCCTTTTTCTGTTATTCATTGCCAAGTGGGGTATCGGAATCCACAAAAAATTCAAAAAGTTCTTTTTTTTTTTTTTGCTTACGTCATATACAGTTGACTTTTCAATGTAATACTCCTCACATAATTTTGACACGGATATGCCTTTATCCATTTTTTGCAGCAATTCCACTTTTTGTTTGATGGACATCGAAACATGCTTTCCCTTTGTAGATCCTTTGGCAGCTCCAGATATGTAAACTCTTTTTGACATAATCGAAAGTTCAAGCTTAATTTTTATAAAATTGCTCTAACAATCTGCAAAAATTAATAAGCCGGATCGAATTAGAAGATTAAGAAACAGCGCAATCTGCAATATTAACTGAAATGCCTTAGAATCAGTTAAGATAACTTTAGCCTAGCTTATACCATTCATTATACATTAAACGTGCATGTGTGAAAGCATTACGCACATGCATAAAGCATACAAAAAAAAAAGTTTGTGGCTTTATGGTCCAGATTATAGATCATTCCAGATAATGGACGTCTGGATTACGAACTTTGTACTGTATTAATTATCCAGTGCAACAACAATTTAATATATTAAATTGTGCATCAGATATACTAAACACAATATATTTTGAATTTACAGATTTGTAACTAAATTTGGTTTAATCCTAGTATACGATACACATGGGATTTGGCGACATTATTATAAGCAATAAACACAATATTTATGATGAGCAGTAAAAAGGGTCATTTTGGTGTTGGCGAGAATTTTCAAAATAGTGACAAATCCATGTTGTATACTAGGATTTTACCTCAAATCGCGAGGCCTACCTGAATATTAACAGTTTTATTTTAATTATAGTCAGGACTTAAATTCTGCCAGAGCCTTGCCCCAATACTTCAGATTTTGAATAAAATCGTGATTCCAGCCAGGGCCCTAAATAAGATAAGCTCCTGTATTTTAATTTCCATTTAACTATTTGTCATTAACTTATTTTGAATCCAAAGGGGCTTTGTCCCTGAGGGACTACTGTTTTCGTTTGGGGAATTTGTGTCGAATCACTCTGAATGTCTCTTTCACTTTTCAAACTGTTGCCACCCAGTATTATCACCCTGTATTATATTTGAAGAAATTAAATAATGAAAAATCTGCAGAAATGTATGTATATTTCTTGCATTGTGATAAAACAATGGTACCTAGAGCCATCCAATTTTGAATAACATAATCCTCCTGCGAATATGCACATTTGGAAGACCAAATTTGGAATTTGTTTTATTACCGATTTCATATTTTGTAAAACTTTAATGGATTTTTTATTAACAATCTCAAGGATTTCAAAGCAAGCAATGGCAACGTTGTACAGAAAAAACCTTTTTATCTCTATAGCGTGCGAGACTGTGTATAGAAAATTCGAAAGAGACTCAACTCATTTTAAAATTATTCTGCGATATTGCTGTTAACCTGAATTTTATTTTTTAAGTGCAAAGAACATGATATTTAATAAATAAAGGTAACACACAAAATGTTAAAAAAACGCCCCTTTGGACATAATTTAAAATCTAAAACCTTTCAGATTTTTTTTTTCCTGTTTGTTTCTTTAGACTCTATTTAATTTTCTTATTATTTTTTTTTTAAATTTATTTATTTACCTTTTTAAATGGCTTTTCATAGGGTTCCAGCACCTATTAGCGTAGAAATTAAGTCTTGAGAAATGTATCCATATATGATTACAATTTCTTCTTTTAACATGCTATATATCGTAAATGTATAGTAATCATAACTTGAGAAATCAGATGTAATGTATTTTATTGAGTATGAGTATGCATATGCAATTCAAACTCTTTCTTCCATCTAAACGTTTCATTGCATACTTCACAAACATGAGATATTTCAGCCAAGTGTGTATGAATGTGCCTCCGCAATGTAGATTTTTGCCCAAATGATTTATTACATATTTCACAGACATGAGATTTCTCACCCGTATGGACAAGTAAATGTCGCAATAAACTACTCTTCTGTATAAATGATTTATTACACACTTCACATTTATGTGGTTTCTCACCTGTGTGATTATACATGTGAATCTGTAACATGCATTTCTTCAAAAAAGATTTGTTACATATGTCACAGACATAAGGTTTTTCACCTGTATGATTGTGCACATGTTGCTCTAATTCACTTAACTCAAAAAATGATTCAGAACACAAATTACAATCATATGATATCTGCCCAGTATGAGAAAGTTCATGTCTTTGAAGCTCTTTCTTTGATCTAAATGATTTATTACACTCTTTACAGGTGAATGACTGATCCCCTACGTGTGTACGTAAATGTTTTTGCAATGCTGATTTCTGTGCAAAAGCCTTATCACACACTTCACATGCAAAGGATTTTTCACCTGTATGAGTAAGTAAATGTCGCTGTAAATTATTTTTTTTCATGAATGACTTGCTACACATATTACATTCATAAGGCTTCTCTCCTGTATGATCAAACATATGCATCTGAAATGCAATTTTTTGGGCAAAAGATTCACTACAGATAGTGCATGTATAAGGTTTTCCACACGTATGAATATACATATTTTGATTCAACTCATTAGACTGAGAAAATGAATCGGTACTTATGTTACATGCATTGCATTTTTGTTTAGAATGAACAAGCAAATGCCTTTGCAATTCATAATTCCATCCAAATGACTTACTGCACAGCTCACAGACAAAGGGTTTCTTACCAGTATGACTATACATATGCACCCGTAAATCAGTTTTTCGGACAAATGACTTGTTGCATGTGTTGCACGTATGAAGTTTATTCCCAGTATGTGTAAACATGTGGCCATTTAATGAACTTCTCTGTGCAAAAGCACGATCACATACGCTGCAAACGAAAGGTTTCTCGCCAGTATGAGTACGCACATGCACCTGCAATACACTCTTTTCTAAAAAAGATTTACCACAGTCATCGCATGTGAAAGGCTTTTCATCTGTATGAGTGCGCCTATGACGCTGTAATTTACAATTTTCCACAAATGATTTACCACATATGTCACAAAAATAAGGTTTCTCACCAGCGTGAAGTTGCATGTGCTTTGTAAGATTTCCTTTCTGCACAAATGACTTGTTACATATATCACATACGTGGAATTTTTCACCTGTATGAGTACACATATGCCGTCTCAATGTATGTCTTCCTACAAATGACTTATTGCATATCTCACAAACATGTGGCTTTTCACCTGTATGAGTACGCTTATGCATATTTAAGCTATCTTTGTGTACAAATGACTTATTGCAGATGTCGCACACATGAATTTTCTTACCAATGTGTATGCGCATGTGGCGCTGTAATTGACATTTAAGCACAAATGATCTGTTGCATAATTCACAAGCATGACATTTATCACCTTTGTGAATAAGCATATGCACTTGTAAATCACCCTTCCGTATACATGCCTTACCACATAACTCACATACATATGGTTTGTCTCCTATATGGATAAGTGTGTGCATTTTTAATGTACGCATTTTCACAAATGACTTACCACACACGTTACAAACAAACGGGTTTTCACCCGTGTGCATACGCATATGGACTTGTAAATTATACTTCTGTCTAAAGGATTCATTACATATGTTACACACATACGGTTTATCACCCGTATGAATTCGGGTATGAATCATCAAATCACTCTTTCGCACATATGATTTCTTACATATCTCACAAGTATGAGGTTTCTCACCCGTGTGAACATGCATATGCTGTTGCAAATTTGCTTTATGTAAAAATGCCTTGTTGCACAATTCACAAATAAAACGTCTTATTTTTGACTGGGTCTGCATCATCATTTTCACTCTTTCATAATACTAAACTTAGAAATGACACACATGTAAGTTTCTTCTTAATTTAACTACTAGGCACATAACTATGGCTTGAGGAATAAATTTGTTTGATATAACGGCATTTATCCTTATAAAACAATATTTATGATTTCTATCAAAGAGCTATATTATTTATGACTAATTAATAGTTACAGATTTTACACAGCTGAGGGTAATAGTGAAATAACTGTTTGAGAACACTTCAAAACAGTTTATATATCAGATGGCTTATTATGAATAATCAGTGATTTTATAAATAAAATACATATCTAAAATAATTCATAATTTTTTATGCTAGTTTCTCATATATTTAGATACATCTGTACGTGAAACTATATGCATGTATTTTAACTAATAAATACGCCAATTCCTTGTTATCCCGGCTAATAAATAAGCAATTCAGGCCAAAAGAGATGAAAATTTATTGCATTCTCAGAATTGATCGACAGATTAACTTTTAAGATGCCTTTATATACACGAGATATATTTTTTGAATTAAATTGTTAACTTAAACCTTTTTATTACAAGGATTATAGCCACACTTTAATATTGCATACTCAATCTTTTTTTTATATTCATTTCGTTATTTACTATTTTAGACAAGGACACAAAGTTCGATAATTTCATTTAGTTTCTTTACAACTGCATAAAATCCGCAATTATTTTGATTTAGTTGAAACTCATTGCTTGAATTACGGAGTAAAATGTTCCTACATATTCACCTACAGAGTTTTTCATCTTAATGGATAACAAAAGCGCTAGGCAACAGCGATGACTTTTTTTTTTTTTTTTTTTTACTTTAAAAAACACAATCCCTTGGTTTTTCTTCTCGTTATTCACATTAAATGCATACGAAATCACATACTTCACATCAACAAAATTTCACATCTAATAAAAGTTTAAGTGCTTTTATTCAGAGGAATGATAATTTCAAATTTACAGGCATTTTAATCAGAAAAAAATATTAAACTATGTCACGTACATTACGTTAGCAAAATAATATTGCATATTACATCATTTTTCATAAATCGGTGCTAACGCAAAATTTTAAAATTGCTAGATATGTTTAAATGACGTCATTATCACGTGATCAAGTCAAAATTCTCAAACTGTGTCTCATGTTCGGTATTCATTGATCTTCGTGAAGAGTTTGTAACAACTTTGAAGACAAACATATGGACATTTGTCTTGAATTGAAGATAGAAGAAGAAATGTCTTGGACATTATCTTAAGAGGAGAAATAGCGACTTAAGCGGATTAACGCTAATCTATTCCTAATTCCTAATTAACAATGTCTGATCAAGAAAGAGCATTATTTTTTCCATGAAAAAAAGGATAAATGTTTTTAGAATCGGAAAAAAAAAAAACTAAATAAAAGTATGTTAGTTTTTCTTGCGTATACAACTGGGGCGAAGTGTTATGTTAATTAGGAATAAAGCCGTATATATTTCCTGTCTCCTAAATCCCTTGTCTACAAAGTCTTTTGCAAAAATAACTGATGATGTTGCACAAAGCTTTTATTGAATGAACTTCATTTGTGCATTGAAGTTTTGTCAGCATGAACATGCGGTAGAATAAAAAAATCCCCCCTTTTGGATACGACCTGCTCTGACAACAAGCGCCTAGATATTGGGTTCTCATCTATCCCAGAGTTCCACACTCTCTTCGCTCGCAGTATGTCATTTCCGGTTGTGGGGAGGGATCTCAAATGATAGAATAGCTAGTGAACGGAAATCCTCGTATTGCAATTTTCGTAGTCGAGTGTTTACAAGCTAATTTGATCAAACATCTCTGATCATTTTAAAACAAAACGGTCCTTTTCAGGACCAAATGATCACTTTAATAAAGGGCCCTTTTCAGAGCCAAATGTTCAATCTGATGAAAAAAATCAAACTAATTCGGATATTTCTACGGATATGATTACATCAAACAAGTTTCCATGCGGACGTGGGAAATTCTTTTTTTCCAAATTTAATTTGAAAAGGCATGTAATAAAATGCCATCCAACGGATGAACACATATTGCAGTCTCTAAATTTAAAAGTATGTGAAACATCCAAACTCAAAATATGTGACTCTAGTTGTAATGGTGATCACATTTCAACTAAGAGACAGTATAAATGTCCTTTGTGTAAAGGGGATTTTGAAAATGAGTTGATAAATGAACACTTTTTACAAGTTCATGATGTAAAACTTGAAACATCAGAAAGTCAAAATTTATAATACTTGTATCTGAAAACCAAATGCCACTGGTACAGTTACATATTTTACATGTCACCGTTCAGGGCATTTTCATTCACAGAGTTCTGGAAAGCGACACATAAAGCTACTGGGCAGTAAAAAAATTAATGCTTATTGTCCTGCGAAAATAAAATTGGTCAAATCAAAACGAGAGGAATACTATGCATATTTCCAGAAAACACATGTAGGCCATGAAAATGATATGGGTCATCTTTTCCTTTCAAGTAAGGATAGAACCTTTATTGCATCAAAAATAGCTGCTAAAGTACCATTTGATGCAATTTTGGATGAAATTCACGATTCCATATCTGATTCTGGCCTCGAACGATTGCATCTAATAACAAAAAAAGATCTGCAAAACATTGAACGAAGTTTTGAGTTAGCTTCCAGTGCAGTAAAGCATAGTAATGGTGTTGGTGTATTTAATTATGGCAAAGCACACGAGGGCTATCTGCCTAAGGGAAGGGATGCCTTTGTGGAGGACTTTCTAAGGGAAACTGGCTCGTATACACGTTACACATGGGGAAAACCACGAAAACGCCCATGCAGCCAGCTCATTCGCGGGATTCGAACCTCGGACCGAACTACCAGTGTTCAGCGACTTTACTGCTCGACCGCTGGTCGGCTAAAGCATAGTAATGACTATGTGAGGGTTGACATGTGGGTGAATGAAATGCTTAGTTCACAGATTTCATGCGTGTTATATTATAAGGCACAAGGTGTAATATCCCCAACACATACATTCCTTAACGATGAAGATTTTATTCTCATCATAATGACAAATATGATGACAATAATCACAAAGTGAAATGCTAAAAAAATTTAGTTCAGACTGCATACAGTTAGCTACAAAAGTCTGTGTACAGACTAAATTTTAAATTAAAAAAAACACTTAAAGCATAGAAAAATGTATTTTAATCATTGCATTTTTTTTCTTCTATTAGCTAAAATTGTAAGCTTAAATAAAAAGTAAATAATATCAGTGTAATACTTTTTAAATTTTTTCAAAAAACTCAGAAATTCCATCCAATAAGTCTGCGTACACTTTCAAAAAAAAAAAAAAAAAAAAGTAAAATATAAGTTTTTTACATTACTTCAATACTTTGTAGGCTATCCTTTATTTTTCAAAACAGCTTGCAGACGTCTGGGCATTGACTGAACTAGTTTTTCAGTGTCATCCGACATAAATTTCGCCCATTCTTTCTGAAATTTACTAATTAGCTCATTTCGTGATGTAATATTGTGTTTTCGAATTCGTTTCTCCAATTTTACCCACAAATGTTCGATTGGATTGAGGTCTGGTGACTGTGGAGGAGTACGCAATTGTCTTGGAGTGTGATAGAGGAGATATTCCTTCACAATTTTAGCTGTATGTTTCGGGTCGTTGTCTTGTTGGAAAATAAAGGTATTAGAAAGGTTTAAATTTCGGGCACTGTCTCGTAGATTTTTCTTCAGAATATCCAGATAAACATACTTATCCATGACTTTATCAATAATGTGAAAATTTCCATCTCCTTTCGACGACATACACCCCCATACCATTACACCGCCAGCTCCATGTTTGACAGTTGGATTTAAATTTCTCAGATTCAGTTCTGTTCCTGGTTTTCTCCATACAATAGGGTGGCCATTAACTTTAAATATTGTAAATTTACTTTCATCTGACCAAATTACATTGTTCTAGAAGTCCTGCGAAGAGTTTAAATATGTTTTGGCAAAAGCAATTCTTTTCTTTCTATTTGTCTCGGAAATGTATGGCTTAGACCTAGGTTTGCGTCCATGATAATCAGCCTTTTGCAGCACTTTTCGTACAGTTTCAGGAGAAATTTCCTTGTTGCTAGTTAAAAAAATGTCTTTTGCAATGCTTGCAGCAGAAAGTTTAGGATTTTGTTTAATTCGTAAAAGAGTTTTTCTTTTTTCCCCTCTGCGTTAGCTTCTTCGGTCTCCCACATCTTGGTTTTACAGCAAGACTATCAGTGTCAAGATAGTTTTGAATAACTCTTTGCCCACTAGAAAATGGTTTTACCAATATAACGAAGAGTTTTATCTTCATCTCTCAATTTGATAATTAGTTGTCTCGTAACTAAAGGAATTTCTTTATTGGTTGTCATTTTCGTCAAAGAAAATAGAAATAACAACTTCCAATCAACGTGAAATTTGCTTCGGAAGTCAATGACCTTGAAAGTGTAACCTTCTTTGCATTCTCAAGTTTGAAGTTTAAAAGTTAGATAAGAAATACCCCGCCTCCTTCGCGTTGTACGCAAACTTTATTGGCTTTGATTTCTGACCACTTATCTTTTAAAATTTAGTCTGCATAAATTATTAGATATGAAAACATTACAGTTAAATAATTTCAAAGTCCCTTATTGAAACTAAATATTAAAAAAAAAAAACTTTAAGAAACTACCCTTTTCGCACCATAAATTTGAATTTGATATTACTTTTCTTGATGTACACAGACTTTATTGACTAACTGTATGTATAGATGGCACTCATGGCATGAATGCATATGGCTTTGAGCTTATAGTTTTATTAACTGTCAACAATTTAAGAGAAGGATTTCCTTGTGCATTTTTAATTTCGAATCGAAGTGACCAACCAGTTTTGTCTATATTCTTCTCAATAATCAAGCAAAGCATTGGCACATTACAACCAAAAGTTTTCATGTCAGATATGGCTGATTCTTTTTTTAATGTATAGGTTTCAGAGATGGGCACACGTGAAAAACGCTTCTTTTGTGCATGGCATGTTGACCGTGCATGGCGAAAGAATTTTAAAAAAAAATCGGTGGTAGAGAAAAAACAAGCCCAAGAGTATCAAGTTCTCCGCACTTCTTTACAAGAATGTGTATACAGAGTTTTAATACTGCAGCAGAAGCTGTGTGTTAAATTACTTGAAAACTGATCCCGATACACTTGATTTTGCTAATTATTTTTCGACACATTATTTAAAAGATGCAACTACTTGGGCTTATTGTCACAGAGTTCATTGTGGATTAAATACAAATATACATATTGAAAGAATGCATCATCGAACATTAAAGTACATATATTTATTTACATGGAAAAAATGTTAAAAGATTTGATAAGGCTGTGCATGCAATTATGAAATTTATTAGGGATAAAATGTTTGATAGAATCATTACATCAAATAAAGGAAAATTGACAAGTAAAATTAGAGACTTGAGAAACAGATATAAAACCAGCTTAACACTGTCATCACAAATTATACAAAATGAAAGTGGCTGGATTATTTCATCAGAAAGCACAATTTAGATTTGTATACCATACAAAAAGTGATCAGTGAGGGTAACTGTGAATTGAAGTGTACTGAATGTAATGTATGCATACACACATATATGTGCACATGTATAGATTCTTCAATTAAGTGGAATATGTGTAAGCATATTCATTATTTATGCCAGATGCAGAAAAACAGTCCAGCAGATACAGTTCATGATTCCTGTAATGATCCTTCATTGATAATAGACGACACAAATGATATAGTAATAGTAAATGAATTAATGCAAAGTACATCACAAACTTTGACATTAGCAGAAAGAAAAATAGCACTGCTGAATAAATTTACAAGCTTACTAAACTCAATAACAACACCTAATGAAGTAACTAAAATGGAGAAAATTTATAAATCTGCAATAAATACGAGTATACCACACTTTGAACCTCCAACTGTAAACATACCAGCTAATAAAAAAATTGTACAGAAAGGAACCTTTAAACAAACAAAAAGAAGAAAAATAATGAAAAATTTAATTCGGACATCAGTACAAAATTTTCCTCTCACAGTTATGATAAACAACAAGACAAATATTCAGGGGCAACATTCTTCTTAAAATTTTCATTGTTTAAAAATTACATTATATTGAAAATTCATTTGATGACCTATGTCTTAGTAAAATTAACTTATATTAATTTTACTATTACTTTACATGTACAGGACTCTGGTATTTTTTTTCTCTTTATAGAACTCATATTCAGTAAATTTCCAGCTATATACATTTTAAACAATTTTAGAGATTTTAAATGTTCTCACTCTGCGGGTAACTGTTTACACAATATGAATGAATTAACTACACAAACATCAAGGAAATGAAAAAAAATTCTGTGCCACCATTTGACACTTTTTCTCTCAGTCTGATATAGACATTTTT